AGTCCACTTTGTTAAACATTCTTTTAAAAATKAAAGTTTAATGATTTATTACACTTACATATTACGCTTTTATAATTATTAGTTGTAAAATGGTCACCAGGCAATACTATCGCTTATCGCAATAATTTTTGAGACAGTTAATCGCCCAGCAAAATTTGTTATCGTGACAGGCTTACTCTAGCATCTGTTTTGCTTTGTTTAGCTACTGTTTTGCCACTTTAAGTTTTAGTAGTCTGCTTTGCTGATTTCAATGACTGCTTTGTTCATTTAAGCAATAGTTTAGTTAGTTTTAGCTACTGTTTTGCTCATTTTAACATCTGTTTAACTAACTTTTGCTTCTGCTTTAGTGATTGTAGCAACTGCTTTTCTCATTTATGCTGTGGTTTTGTTAGTTTTTAAACTCTAGCATTGGTTTTGCTACTTTTAGCTACTGTTTTGGCGCTTTAAACTTTTGTATTTGTTTTGCTGATTTCAATGACTGCTTTGCTCATTTAAGCAATGGTTTAGTTACCTTTTAGCTACTGTTTTGTTCATTTTAACATCTGTTTACCTGATTTGTGCTACTGCTTTAGTGATTTTAGCATCTGCTTTGCTAATTGTAGTGATTCYTTTGCTCATTTTAGCATTTATTTTGTTATTTTAGAAAATGACACAGAGCTGAAGCGATTTAAATTTTTGCCTGTTTGCAAAAAAATGTAAAAATACAGAAAAACAGCCTTTCCTCCAAGGCTCGGATGAAAAACATGTGCAGCCATAGGGGCGTTTGCTGCACTTTACATTAGCAGAATGTTGACATGGTATGCACTGGGTATGATGTAATTGTACAGATATGTGGGTGTTGCAGACTGTGTGTAACACTCTTACTATAAACTCCACTGCAGGCAGTGTTTGCAGCTTAAACTCAAATTTTTCTGTCAGGTCTGGATCTACAACAGAGGTTTGTTAAGGTCACAGTTTCAGGCATTCATCAACTCAAGCCAAAAGAATAAAATAGTGTATCATATTACGAATGTTTGCGTTGGCTGGATTTATTTCTAGTTTYGTATTCTGACACAGCTCGTAGCTCACACTTAAGTAAAACTGAAGGCAGTCAAGCTGCTCTTAAATTAAAATGTAGTTCATACACAGAAAATAAAAGAGGCAATAAAACACGGCCCTGAAGGACCTCTCAGTCCGTAATGAGCTGCGGGGTTACACATGCGATGTGCCGTCTCTGAGTTTCTTATCCAAACAACGAGGCCTCTGTTAAAACCTGAGATAATGTGGCTTCTGTGGAACCGTACACTCCCTGCTGAACTGTGCTGCTACATTTTATGTTCTTTATGAGAATATAAACGTGAATATTACAGAGAGTCATAATTCTCAGGTTGGTAAAGCTGAAGTTTGGAATTTCATTGACGGTTTTTGAAAAAAAGAGTTCAGGTCAAACTTACCATACCACTTTTATTTATAAAGCACTTTAAACAGCACAAGGCCAACCAAAGTRCTGTACAATAGACAGACACAAGACAAGACTCAAAGGCAAGGCAGTAGTAATGTGGTTTTAAGCAAGACTTGAAGACAGCGAGGGAAGAGGACTGTCTGACATGTAGTGGTAGATCATCCCACAGTTTTGGTCCTGCTACAGAAAAGGATCTGTCACCTCTCAGGTGGAAAACAAACATCTGACTTAGTCTCTTTCTTGTCCTGGTTTTCTTCTTCTAAGATCTGAAAAACAAATGGCACCTGGTGGTCGACCGTCTCACAGTCCTCTTCCTCAAGTTCCTGGAATATTTCCACAAGCTGCAGCTGTTTGTTTGGTGGCTGTTAGAGATCCACATCATCAAGATCGTGTCGTGCTACATCGTCATGGTCTCCATCAGAGAGGTGAGAGCGCTCCAGGTTCTGTATCTGCAGCACTGACGGGGTATTTCATATTATTTATTTATTACRAATAAAAAGGACAAAAATACTTAACACTGATCAAAAAGGTTTTAATCCTTGTTGTAGCAAAATATATTTATTCTAGTTKCACAGGAAAAGGAAGGAGAATGTGAGCGGAAAAAGGCTTAATGGAACCATTTTCCTGTCCTCATCGCCTGTATTGTCTCTTGTTCAGGTGTCTTTGCTCAACTACGTGTTCCTGGCGTCCTGGGCCTTCGCGCTGCCCTACAGCCAGTATCGGCCCCTTGCCTCCAGTGTTTGCATTGTCTGGACGTGTGTCATCATCGTGTGCAAAATGTTGTATCAGCTGACAATCATAAGCCCCAATCCGTACAACTGCACTCTAGTAAATATCACCTTTRCCTATTTTGTGTACTTTCCAAACTGGAACGTTAACTCGTAAACCAGTTGTTCTAAATAAATTGTTGCTGAAATCATGTTTTTGACTGCACTGCACAAAGACACTTTGCCGGTTTTACGTCTTGCATTCTGTTTCTGTGCACAGCTAGGTAACTACACAAAAGATCAAATGGAAAAGATTAAGAAGTCTTCACTGTACGTAGAAGAGGTGGATCCAGGCAACTGGGTGGGCCTGGAGAAGACTAAAGACCTGCTGGGCTACCTCAGGGTAACGAGTGAAAGTGCTGATATTTGTAAAGCTGTTTATGAATATGAGTTGTGAGCAGAAAAAGCCACTAGGCTGAAATGATGACCAGTGTTTTGACTTGCACATGCTGGGGAATTTAGCTAGAATAATTGTTTTAATTGGGCTCTTTAGGGACCAACAGCCTGTTTCTAACAATAATTGTTCCTCATTTGCCTGTCTGCATTTATTAATTACAGGGTCACCATTTCTTTAAAGGGAYCTCCGACTAGTTGTAACATAGACGTATTTGATAAACATTTAGTAAAAATGCAACGTCCACCTCAACAGTCCCAAGTGCTCATTACAAGTAATCAATAGAAAACAATGGCTACGTGCTTTTTTCACGTTTAGGCCAGGCAAGTGCAAAATAAAACTGTGTGTGTGTGTGTGTGTGTGTGTGTGTGTGTGTGTGTGTGTG